TTATCAAAAGTGGCAAATGAAATCTGATCTTTATCCAAAATTTTGCAAAGACAATTGCAGAGTTGAATTTATCTGATAAAAAAAGTTGGCGCTGTCAAGTCTAAGAGCAGCTCCATCATCTGGCTGTAAACAGCTGAGAAAACTCATTACATTTTCAAGGCCAATGAGCCTTGCCAAAATCCTGTTTTTGCAAGACTCTACTGAGCCTCACTCAAGGCCAAGAAGTGGTCATCACTTCTTGGATTTTCCTGGAATCAGCTAATCCTCAGCCAGGAAGAAATCACCTGATTTCTTCCTGCTCCAGGCTGAGCACCTGGGTATAAAAGCCTTCATTCCTCTTTGAGAGAAGAAGTGAGAATCTTGTGTTGAAGGGCCTTTCAACTTGAATTACCTCTTTCAATCTTCTGAGCTAACCAACCCATCTTACAATTGACTCTGCCATTTCAACTATTTCATTAACAGCCAAATGATGATCTGTGCAATGAGAAAGAACTCCTCTGAGAAGATTTTGAGTTCTTATTCAAAACTTGTATTCTGGTGGCTTCACAATTCAATTCCTTTTGTCTGGGATCCAACAGATCCATGAAACGCTCTTCTACCTAGCTCTAACACTTTGGGCAAATTTTTGCACGCTGAAATCAATTACTTTAATTTTTTCATTCTGAGAAACCTTCCTTCAAGCCCACATTTAAAAATTTTGGAAGAATATTTTGCTGTTTATCTACTTCATTGTTTAAGTTTTTGAAAAAAGAATAACTTTCCAAATATGTGCCCTAAAGTCTTCCAAAAAAATGATTTTGAGTCTGCAAGAAATGTATGAAACTTTGCCAGTCTGCAGAAATTTTTAAAAGAATTGCTTGGTCCATGGGGAACAAAGGCTGGGAAACACTGCCCTATAACATGATGGTTAAAGAATCCTATGGGACCAAGAGAAAATGGTTTTAGAAAAGATTGTTATTGAGAGAAATACTGTATACAGTAAAATCTCATTACAACAAACTTTTGGGGACTGCGGAAAAAGTTTGTTATAACGGATAATTTGTTGTAACGAGATTATGAAAAAAAATGAATGGAACAATTTTTTCAGCTCAGATCTGCATATATTCTGAATCAGGCTTGTCTTTCAGTTTAAGAACTAAAATTATTGTTCAAAAAATTCAGTGATTTTCTTCTGAACAAAATTCTTATTCATTGCTGCTGGCAATGCATTCTCAACTTTTTTCAGCAGATCATATTTTTCATCACTTGGAATGTCAGAGCATGCAAAAAAATTTAATTGACCAGACACAAGCAATCATTTCAAGTGCTTGCTTGTTGTCAATGTCAGTATCCTTTCTATCACATGCAATGTTTGCAAGAATTTTCTAAAACATATTTTCCCTGTAATGAACTTTCACAGTTAGTATTATGCCCAGGTCCAGAGGCTGAAAAAGTACTGTGCAGTTTGGTGTCAGGTACTCCACTTGCACATTATCTAGACAAGGAAGAATTGTGTGGACAGAGCAGTTGTCCCAATAACAAGCAAGATTTTCCTTTTATTAATTTGCATGTCCTTTTTGACCTGCTTCAGAAATTTAACAAAAATTGCAGTGGTCATCCAGTCACACTTGTACATTCTTGAAACGAGGTGGTTTTGCTGATTTTCCAATGATGAGTGGACTCAAATTATCTATCCCTATGAAGCATTGCAACAGAAGATGGCTGTCAGTCTCTTGCTTTGATTTTCTGCTACCATGGCAAGGATAATTTTTAAGAGCCAATGTGCAATTTGGTAACAATTTAGAAAAAAATGTCTATTTCATCTGCATTGAAAATGCTGTAAGATGCAATACTTTTTTCGTCTCACTGACCTGCCACTCATTCACTTTTGTGGTGAGAACTGCTTACTCTTCCCCACAGATCACTTTAGTTGAAATTCAAAATCAATCATAGAAACAATTAAGCCACCCAACACTACTTATATATGATTTTTGGTCAAAAGAAAGTGCTAACTGCCTGGCTTTCTCTTGAATTAGGGGTCAATTTATAGGAATGTTGCTAGCTGGCACTTCTTAAAACCATGCAAAAACAGCCTTGTCCAGGTCTTCATGAGTAGCAGTCCACATTTACTTGCAATGAGGTCTCATGTTGAAGTCACCCAATTTAATTTTTGACAAATTTTTAAAAAATTGTTGACAAAGTTGCAGGCATAATTCCAAATTCACTTGTCACCACCTCCTTTTTTTGTGTCATCAACTGCAGAAAAAGTGATTAGCTTCTTATTAAGAGTTTATTGTTGGCATTTTCTTTTTTGCAGTTTTTCATCCCCCATTCTGTGGACTGCCAAAAAATAATTTTGAAAAACAATGGAAGGATTTTTGCCATGACTGCAGGGTGACAACACCATGAATCCAAGCTAAATGATTGCATATTTTTGCTTGAATTTTTTCTTTTCATGATTGTTCATTTTCTAGAAGAAAATTGACACATTTTTGCACAATAAAGAGGCAAGGTGAACATTTTGTTTAAGAAATTTGACTGATTTTTGTAACCCTGTACATAAAACTGACATGCATTGCTGTGTAGAGACACAGGAAAAGAAAAGAAGGCAATGAAAGAAATGCACCAAAGTGGGAAACACAAGCAATTTAAAATTAGAATTAATTTGTGTAGCCAAATTGTTTATCTTTAATTTTACCAGCAATTCTTTTCATACAATTCTTAGCATTCCACAGTATCCAGAATTAAAAAGTAAAGAAAAATTCCTGTGTTCACAAAATTTGTGTTGAACAGTCACTGTCCAAAGTTGTACTGGAACCTCTTTCACAATGCATGGGACTTGAAGAATTGTAATCTTTTGGGCATGCATCTTTATTTTTATTCTTCAGAAGATGCTGAAGAACTGCTCCTGGGTTGGATGCTTGGATGGATTTTGTGCACTTCTTGGTTCATGGTTTGATCCTATAAATTTTAAAAAATGTATTCCAGGGAAGTCATTGCTGTTGGGGCAGTTATTCTGTATTAAAGTTTTATGTATTTGACTGTCCTTCCTGCAAGTTCATGAGAAACAGAATGTTTGGATTAACCTCCAGGGGTCCAAACAATTCTACATGCAATTTTTGCTGTGTTCTAGGAAGGGGCATTACATGTAAGGGTGGAAAAACTCTCTCTCCTGGGTGGATCCCATGGAGATTTTGAAACATTTGGGCCTCTGTTGAGGCCTCTTTTGATTCAGGCTTCAATGGTGAATAACACAAGCAAATTTCAAGTAATTTTTCCAAATTTTTCCACAAAAACCAAAAAAATTTCATCAAAAAAGTTTGTTATAACAGAATTTCCAAGTTTGTTATAACAAGATTTTTTTAACATGTAGTCTATAGGATTTCTGCTGGGACTTGAAAAAAAGTTTGTTGTATCAAAAAATTTCTTGTAATGGTATTTGTTGTAACGAGATTTTACTGTAGTAAAATTGATTCTAAAAAAACTAGAAAATAGTTTAGTTATGAAAGGAATTTCACTGTAAGAAAATTCAAATACCATTGCAGCTATTAAAGACCGGGACCTGAAAAAAGATTCATTGTAATGGATTAATCATTATAATGAGATTCGTTTTAATGAAATTCCACTGAAAATTTTACCTAAGGAAGTTTTGCTCAAACTTACTTTATGCACTCAGGTACCACACGCCCTTGCGTAAGGAAGCACAGGGGTTTTTTAGCTATAGAAATTTGGCGAAAATCTTTTACTTGAGTAAGACTGCACCCCAATTTTTAGTGAATCTAAAACCACAAAATTTTGAAAATAAATTTTAAAAATTTTACTTTAGACATGAATTGTACAAAAATTGTATCAATTTTAAATTTTTTCAGTACAAAAACATTTTCTTGTTACATTTGTTCCAAATTTCTCCATTAAAAGTAAGTATAATGCACACATGACTTCCTAAAACTTCTTGAAAAATTTGTACCCACTCATGACGCGCACCCCTTCTTTTCTTCTGAAATTTGAGAAAAAAGGTGTGCATGGTACTTGAGGAAATACGGTACAGTACTTGAAAATGGCTTCAAATAAGAGATGTGAATTTTTCAATTCTCAATTTTTTTGTGGAAAAAAATCTAATTATTTCCTAAAGAACTTGTGATTCACGTAACAAAATTGATTATGCAACAAACACAGCAGCACTCCCATGAAAAAGATCATACATTGAACAAGATACCTCTTCACACTAGCTCATTCATGTTCTCACTGCTTGCAATTCACAACCGACATCTATATGAAATGTAAAGCTAATCAATATTGTAACCATGCAGAAACCCTATGGGCAGGACTGGTCTTGGGGGTAGAGGGCGCTTGGGTCGATGGGGCCCAAATCACGCTGCGGATCCCATAGTAACACGTTGGGCAAGGGGCCAAGATGGTGAGAAGATCCTTGAACCAAACTCTGAATTGCCAATTTTGGAATTTGTTGCTGTACTGAGAGCTGATTCTGACCAATGGGCAATTCCTGGAGTAAGTACTGCTGTATATATGGTGTACTGATTAAATGTATATATTTTTCTATCATGTGATGTCCTTGAAAAACTATCCATAAATTCTATTTTCATTAACATCAAGAGAATAAGCTAAAATAGCTGGCTGTTGTGGATCATTAATGTCTTCAAAAAAAAGGCTGAAGGATAATGTACAGTCATACATCCTTGTTTGTGGGAATATCTAATGATTTGTATGAGTCCTAATTTGCTGTTCAGAGTATTTAATAGAAATGTAAAACTGGTTTATTCTTCTTCAGGGAATGGTGAGAGCTGATGAGATTGTCTCAGTCACACTGAAGAGAAGATTCACAGAAGAAGCTCTGGATGCAGCAAACATGAATGACAAGGAAGAAACAAGGATAAAACTCAAAATTGCAAGATTTTTTTCGAAGGGTCTTAAGGTGCTTCAATATTTCAAATGCTTAGCTAAAACATTCCACAATATGAAAATTAAAAGTTGAAAGTTTACTGAAATTTTTCAGGAAGACACTGAAGTAGGTTTTCAAAAACTTGTTTTCCAGGTTCTTGTTTCACCTCTTGGAGTCTTTTTTGTCTTGGATTCATGAAGGCTTTTAAAATAGAGATGCATGTTTTTTAATTGCAGATTTATGTTGGTTATGTGGATGATCCCAGAAACACTGACAATGCATGGATGGAAACCAGTGCATTCAATTTCCATGATGACTCTGGTGACATTGTTGGAAAATTGAATTTCAAACCTGGTCTTGACACAGGCTCACAAGATGTTCAGTGGCGGAAGTGTTCTTCTGAATTGAAATTCTATGCTTCACATGCTCAACTGTTGCAAAAAGTCTGTCAATTACAGCACGCTCACTGGTAAATTGAATGAAATTCTTGCTTTCACCCTGAAATCAAGAACCACTATTGTGCAATTTAATTCCTAGGAAAGAAAATTTAATTTATAAAAAATATAGTTCAAACTGAATTGAAGAGTCTGACAGACATTTCAGCATTATATCCAACTGCTGATATAAAGTTTAAGATTTTTTTTTTTGGATTCATCAACAAGTTGCTGGAGGTAATTCTTCAATAAGCTCCCCAGTGTTTCTTGTAATGTCTCTTTTTTACTTCACTGGCAGTGATATCTTTGAATTTTCATTAGATGTACAAAGTAATTAAGAAAAATTAGGATTATTTAAGACATTAAAACCGGATTCAGTCAAAAGATCACTAATGCGAGTCACGTTTCTAAAAACAAGTTTGATGAACAATCTCTGAAATGGGGCTGATATTCTGATCAGGTTCAAATACAGGGTCTACTAGAAAAATTGTCCATATTTTCAAGCTGGATATTCATAGTTTTTGAAAATAACTCATTTCTGGATTAAATTGCCAATGTCATAAATTGAAACTCTAAATCAGGTAACATTTGAAAAAGTAAACAAATGGTTTGAATACAGTTGCTATGTGTAAGAGTGAATTGTGCAAGAAACTCATGTGAAAGAATACTGTGTGTGGAAATGCATACATATTCTGATATTTTGATGCATTACTGGCTTTATTGTTTTTCAATCTTTTTAGCAGTTACAGGCATTTTATTCATTTTTTATTGAAACGGTGCATGTATCCTGCTGGTTCAGCTTTGCTGTCAAGATATATCCATTTGACAACAGCCAGGTATTTTGGAAAATAGATTTACCCCCTTTTTTCAGGGGGGTCATCTTTCTTCAGGGGAAAATGGTGATTTGGTAGCTGTTGGGCAAATGAATTTATGGGGTTTTATCCTCTTTTGCAGGTACTTATTTAGAATCTTTTATTTTCAGAGAGTTTTCAAGAAGCACCCTGATTATGAAAAATCCCCCAGAAACACATCAATTTAATTTTCCTCTGCTTTTCTCCTTCTCAAGGCATTTTGGAAAAAATACCTCCACCAATTACCAAGTTATCACTGGGTGATTTCCAGCAAATAATTTACCCATATTTTCACCCATATATATTGTTGGTGACTGAAGTCACTGCAACAAGAAAAGGGCTAGGCTGTAAAGAAAGAGATTAATTGATAAAACGATTTCAAGAAAAACACAGAATCAGCCCGGGACAGGGGCCGGGAATTCACGGTGGAATCCCTATTTAAAGTTAAAGTATATTTCGAGAAGTCCTCTAGGCTGCAAAGAAAGAGATTAATTGATAAAACGATTTCAAGAAAAACACAGAATCAGCCCGGGACAGGGGCCGGGAATTCACGGTGGAATCCCTATTTAAAGTTAAAGTATATTTCGAGAAGTCCCAAAATTTAGATGATGAACAAAACAGACAACACAGATTTTTAGAAGATTTTCAAACAAGATATTTCAGAAAAGACCTCTCAAAAAACCTCTGATCACACTGCGGTGGCAACAAAACGAGAACTGTGTCCTTTTGATGAAAGCAAGGGGTATTTATTGATTTCTTTTCCTGCTCTTGATCAAGGGGGGTTGATCAAGGGCAGGGAAATCTCGAAGGCCTGGGATTGGCCGACAAATTGGTAATCAAAGACGTCTTGGCGCCAAGACAGATGTCTTGGCGCCAAGAAAGTTTAATTTTTTCTTGGGTAGGGGAAACCGTTGACGGATTTCGTCCGTTTTTTACGCGCGGGTGGTTTTCCACCCAATTAGATATTTTTAATTGATTTTTATTCGGTAGTGCGCCGCGAGTCCCCAACATAATCCCCCCTGCCCAGTAAAGGAGCCTGCCGCCAGGCGTGCTCTTTCACTGGGCATTTGGCTCTTAAACGCCATGACAGGGATTCGCGTGCGCAATGGTTACCCGGCCATTAGCTTCATTTTGAAAGTTCCTACGTCAGAGGGTCTGTGAGAGGGTCCCTTGTCTTTTGATGCGTGCTCGTATTTGAATTCGGAAGTGATCAGTTTCTGAATTCAAATAATTTTTATGTTTCATTCAAATGTTTCATTCAACATATCACATTCACAGGTTTCTCCGCGTTCATTTTGATTGATAGATTCGCGTGTCTTGTCCGATTTTGCTAATTTTTTATTTTTGCGAGTTTCTCATAGAATTTTCGCCGATTTTTCACGATCTTTTCTCGCCGAAGTGTTCTTCTGAGTCTTCCTTGAAGTTTCTTGAGTTTTTTCCGCGATGGCTGGGCTCGATGAAGGACTGATGGATGGGGCTGCTGGTTTGTCTTCTTCGGATCTTCTTGGTGATGTTCCTGATGAAGGTTTGTTGTTTCTTCTTCTTTCTTTCTCATATCTTTTGTCGAGTGTAATTTCAACTCTCATGTTTTGCGAGTGTAATTTCAACTCTCTTTTTGCGAGTGTATTTTCAACTCTTGGCCTGTAATTCTTTTATCATCCAAATAAAGCATTTCGTTCGAATTTCCCTTGATTGAGCTCAATTATGCAATTTCAAGCTTGTTTTGTTTCTATTTTTCTTTGATTTCACTTTCATATCGTATTTTTGTCATCTTTTTATTTTATTTATTGATTTTTTAAAATTTTTTTGTATTCTTATGATTATTTCTTTTGATTTATTTGATTTGATACATTTCAGATGTGAATCTGTTATTAGGTGAGCTGTGCATCTCTGAACGTCAGGAGCAACCGAAACTAGAGGAACGGACCATCAAGTTTCCTTCGTTGGCTTTGGATCTTGTAAAAACTTTGGAGACTGCTGATCTAAGGACTTGGAAGCGCCTAGTGGAATTGTGTAGTGTCGTGAAAAGTGATTTTCTCCACAAGAAGACTGTTGAGGGGGCACGCATTTTGATTAGTAGGAAAAGAGCTCGTTTAGCTTTAGTGGAGGAAGAGCATGCGTTATTGAGTCGTTCGGAGCATGATTTAAATGTGGATCTTAGTGCTCGTCGCCAAATATTACATCAATCTGAACTCGCATGCAACACAGCTCTGACTAAGTTGAATGATTCATTTAAAATTATCAACTTTTGTGATCGCGAGACTTTTTTGCGATCCTTTTCGAATGAGCGGACTTTTTTCTTAAATATTCTTGATGGTGATTATCTAC